GTCTGTGCAACTACCCTTCACTGTGTGCTTGCCACGGCTAGGGGTCCTCCAGGACGGGTCCATCGCTGCTCATCCTCACAGCCCCCTTGTTCCGCGAACATGGGAAGGGGGAGTTAAGCGACCCCTGGCATGGAGCTTGTATCTACCACAACGATGACGAACCTTTTAGAGCTTTTTCAATGATACGAACAGCCTGCTGCAGCCTGTGTGCAGTAGGTTTTCCACCACTGGATAAAGCAACAAAAAGTAGTCACCAATGTGACTGATCAAGACTCCTGGAGAGGGCTGGGGATTTAGCTCAGCGGCAAAAGCGCCTGCCTGGTAAGCGCAAGGTCGTGAGTTCGGTTCCCGGTACCGGAGAAAAACCAAAAAAAAAAGACTCCTGGAGATAGGGAAATGCCCAGGGTGGTAGAGGAGCTGCGACCCAAGGGGCTACACAGCCAGGTACAGGGGTGCGGTGGATCCCCTGCACCAGCAAAGGACAAGCAGTGGGGACCTGCCAGAAGGTGTGAGCTAGGGGCACCATGACTGTGTTCCAATGTTCAGACACTCTGGTAAAGAAGTATCAGAAGCACCAGAGAGACAGTACACTGTTCCTGAGGGCCAAAGGATGGAGACCAGGCACCTCCCTCCAGGAGATGAAGGGTTAAACAAAGCACGCTGCACCCACACAATGGACTCCTGGGAGAAACAGAATGAAGTCAGTGGATGCCCGTGCAGCGTGGGTGAACCTGGAAACCCCACGGATCACAGAAGGTTGCATGTGACAATGCGGATTCCATCCAGGTCAAAGTTGAGAAAAGTAACTATGGAGGGCGGGTGAGCAGTGGCTCAGAGCTGGGGCAGAAGTGACAGCCAAATGGTTTCCTTCTGAGGTGATGAAAACGTTCTAAGATGGACGGAAGCCAATGTGCCCAGAATGGAGTGTGTACAAAGCCCACAACCGCCGCTCACTGTCCGTGGGCACCGTAGTGCGACTGGTGCCTCAATAAAGCTTCGTTCCCCCACGTAGAGGCACGAGGGCCCACTGCCATCTTCCAAGGCAGCAGAAGACAGGGGAAGGCGGGACCAAGAGGGTGCAGAGTGGGCTCAAAGGCCCTGCCGTCCAACCCACACTCTCTCCCACAGTGAGAAATGTGGGGCTTTGGGGGTTGGCATCGTTTTGCTCTTCAACCTGTAATGGTGCTGCTTCCAGGAGGACTGGAACTCTCGATGAGGATGACAATGTGGCTTCCTGGAGGAGGGTAGGCTCAGGAGGAGCCTGGGAAACATCCTTTAACCAAGGGACAACAAATCTCCTGCTGGGGGGCACTCTCAGAATAAACCCACCACCAAGTCCATCTGGGGGTGGTGGAATCGCCCCCAAATCCGCTGTGGCCAGTGAATCACGCTGAGGACATGACGAGGAGCCGGGTGAGTGCCACATACATAATATCTTTCAAGAAGACAGATTTTTATTGCTGCTCCTGAGGACAGCCCCTCGGAACCCAGAGTCCATCAAATGCACGCATGGGGCAGCACGCAATGCCCCAGGTTCACCTCTGAGGACTCTCTGGCGAGTCTGCACCAGCATGGACGGGAGTTCTGGTGTTGTTCATGTTGGACTTGTACAGAGTCAGGTCTGGAGACGCGGAGATGCTGTGCTGAGAGTTGCGGGGGAGGCGTATTTATGATGGGTCTGTTATTTACACAGAAGTGCTTGTTGCTTGACGATTTAGATAAAAATGTTACTGCCTCTCTGCATGTGCCGCAAATTCATGGTGTAAAACCACTGGAGCAGCTAATGGAGTCTTCACACATCATATCTTGTTGAAAAAGAGGGGTGCAGCCCTCACCAGATCCATAAGCCAGCCCTAGGGGTGGCTGCACCTCGGGGCAGTGTGGCCAAGCTCCAGGGTGCCACAATTCAACTGTGACCTACTCCCCATCCCTGTTTGTTTAAGGAAAACTATGAACTCCCTTTTCATACAGCAAGGTTGTAAGGTGGGTAGTTTTGTGTTTAACCTGCAGCCCCCTGATGACGGGAGAAAAGCTAAATGCAGAACTTACTTATCTACCTACTTCTGACCAATGCGCCATCTACTTCTCGGAGTCCTTTAAACACTTATCTGTATTTCCAAAAGTAACAAAATCTCCACGCCGAGGATATGAATGAAATATTGATGGCTGGGCCCTGAAAGATAGGACCGTGGTTATATTTCTAACCAACGTGGATAATCGGGTCACACCCATTCATTTTACTATCTAGTTCACTGCCCTCATGTGCACTTTTAATTGAAACTTAACCTTTATATCTGTTAATAAATCGGGGACAGCACACACACACACACACATCCCGGGGGTGGAGGCGGTAACACTTTCCCCCAAGTAACCCTGTAGGAGAATTACAATCTTTTAATAGTCTGTTAAGTTTAAAAAAGAAACTCTGACACAAGCTTTTTCAGTCCCCCACCACCAGTTCGGCTCCTCCTGAGCAAGTTTTGGGGTGTCCCAACACAGCCCCTTCGCATCTCAGTTCTGCCCAGAGTCACCTCCAAGCCCATTATTGACCTTTCTCCAGCCTAGCCACTCACACTCCAGTCTTCCAAAGAGAGACTGAGGGGTAAATGTTAGGTCCACGCAGCCCATCGTCCGAGCTGAGTGATCTCCGAAAGGTGCCAGCGCGCTGGGAAGAGATGAGGCCACTCAATTAGCATGCTGAACCCGGCCTCAGCCCCCTCCCTTCCCTCTTTTATGAGCCCTTGTTATATAAAATGCCACAAAGGGAACCGGAAAAGCAACACACTTCCAGTTACACACACAAGTTCCGATGGCCAGGCCAAACCCTGGCTGCGTACCAGATGTTATTTTTAGTCATCTGAAAGAGACACATTTTTTAAAGGCCAGAGGACAAAAGTTTTGTTTCCTTTATTTTCGGTTAAAACTCTCTCTCTAACACACACACACACACACACACACACACACACACACACACAAAGATGGAGGGAGGCTCGTCTGCAGCCAGCTTTCCTTGAGTTCAAATTTAAAGGCAAAGGCAGCCTCAGGGAGCGGGGATCCTTCCCTTCCACCTTCAAACGGGGTTTTCAAATGTTCTTTTCAGCCTTATCTAAATTCCGGCATGTCGGATAATAAATAGCTACTCATTTACTATTATCATAAAAATTTAAACAGCCTTGGAACAGTTGTTACCGTACAGAACAAATGATCAGACCTGAGCTCAGAACAGCCACTCGAAATAGTGAAACTAGTGCACGTAAGACAAACATAAAAATACATTGTTGTAAGGAGAGCTACCGGGTTACCGCTTTCCTCTCTCCTCTCTCTCTCTCATCTACTCTGAGCTTGAGTCAACAACTTGCTGTTTCACCCAGTGAAAAATCGGCTTCGTAAAACCTCAGCGATCTCACTGTACCAGATTTGGTGATGGATTTTTTTCTCTTCAAAGAAAGTCTCTCATTTGATCCTGCACAGTGATTAAACATCTTTGTGCTCTGCGGAGAAGGGTCTTCCAACCCCTCCCCCTCCAAAAATGGCATCGAAGCAATCAAAATGGTAATGCGGGGCCCGGGTCCCCTCCTCCCGCGAACTCCGCGGCGCCCCTCCGGCGGGAATGGAAGCTTCCACGCCCGGACAGGGGCGAGCGGCCGGGGCTGGGGGTCCACGGCACCGGAGAGGGGCGGATGCTCCCGGTCCGGTCCGGTCCGGCCCCGCGTCCAGCCTGGCGCCCCGAGACCTGGCCCGGGCCCCCGGAACTGCCATCTTTCTTTCCGGCCCCCTCCTCTCCCACACGCTCCCTCCCACCACTTTTCAACTTTAACACTCGATCGGAGCCCTGGGCCTCCGAGTCGTCCCTCTCCCGGATCGCGGGCACCCCGCCAGTCTCTTCCAAGCCTCAGGGGGCCCCCGAAAACCCAGCTACGGAGGGTGTGCGGAGGGAGGGGCGGCCCGGCCGGGAGAGTGGGGGAGGGGAGCCCGTAGGGAGGTGGCGGGGCTGTCCAAGTTTGGTGCCGGCGGCGGTGGCATTCCGAAGGAAGCGCGATCGATGGCCCGGGGGCTGGCCGGGGCCGGGGGCAGCGCAGGGGCTCGCAGGGGGGCGCCCCCGCCCCCGGGCC